GAAACTGGTCGTTAATGAGGCAAAGACTGTAGCCATGCTCGTCTCCTGAAAAAATCCAAGAAAGAAACTGCAGAAGATAAAGGTAAACGGAGAAGAAAACTACTGGAGCTACTCTGCTAAATACCTCGACGTCACGCTAGACCGTCGACTTACGTACGTTCGTCACATCAACTGCACCCGCGGCAAGGCACACGGAGCCTTCGTGCAGTTAAAGCCCTTCTTCAGCGACAAAGCAGTCTTCCAGAAGACCAAGCTTTGCACCTTTAACGCCATCATCAAGAGCATTAGCACCTACGCGATAACTACGTGGGGCGCTGCTAAGGAAAACCGACTAAAGGGCATCCAAGGCCCTTTCATGAAGATACTAAGGTCGGTCCTAGGTATTCCCTGGTACATCAGGAATTCCCAGATCATCAAAGAGTTCAACATCGTCCCTCCAAAGCAGCCCCTGTCCTCGCGTCTAGAATCCGCGCCTCTATTACGGACCACCCAGACCCCTCCGTCCCCACTATAGAGATATGAGGATTGAGTGCGCTAGAGGCTGAATACGGTAAAAGAAAGAGATGCTTGCCAAGTGTCCTCTCTGTCTCTTTCTACCCGAGCGCTGTGATTGGCTAATGTAATAAGTACCGATGCAAGATGTAGGCTAACAGTAGCCAATCACAGCGCTCAGCTAGAAAAAGATGGAGAGGACACTCGGCGACCATTTTTTTCTTTAACCGTATCGTACCCCCTTACGTACATTAGTATTTTTAGCGCACTTTATCCTTATATATCTATGGTCGCCGCACTCGTGAACATTCCACCCGGTCGCTTCGACCTTATAAGATGTCCCTGCGCTCTCGCTCAAAACCTTGAAGACCCCAACAACACCCTAGGTCTTCAATCCCCCCTGCTTCCATCATATTGGTTAAACTTCTAACTTTAAATACCATAAAGATGAAATACTAACAATGATGTCGGAATGTGTTAAGAAAGAACAAAGTTTAAATATATTTAAAAAATATTTACTAATTATTCAGGCGAGGACAATGGTGTTTAACATTAAGTGAACGTCGCTTCATATATGCCCGAGCAAACAACACACAAGAACAGATTTCAACTTAATTGACTAGCAGGCACGCTACGCTTGTACGGACGGTTATAGGTTAGACAAATGCATGCACAACATTGTACAAGGGAATCAAAACCCTAACTCGCACGTTAGACAGATATGCACGCTTTTGGAGCAACACTGAAAGTTTCGTTACGATTCCACGAAACGACAGGCAACGTACACACAGATAATTGTACGCAGGTCACCGCAAGTCCACACACAATGCCACACACACACATACAGTGGCGCAAACCGCTTTTGCATGACGCGACTTGCAATTGTTTATGTAAAACACTGATGTAATTACTGAGGCTAGTAAATTAGCGCATACGCTTAAATCGCGGCACAATTTGCCTTGCGGCTCTAAATACCTGTGACGTCGTGGATCAGCCGCTCCTGGTAAAAGTACAGTGCGTGGTCGACTGAAGAACAGCTCGTGGTCGCCTGGAGAACAGCTCCTGTAATCGGCAGGGACAAGGACAGCCCGTCCGCAAGGCAAGCGTAGTTGGAGGTCAGCTCCTTGTTAGCAGCAAGCCGTGAGGTTATGCGACCACGTTAGATAGTATACTCTATAGCTCCATGAACAGCACGCCAAGGTACTCTTTCACTCTGATGTACAGTGACTGACTGCTTGGCCAGCGTGCGCCGTTTTCTCGGCCTCTCCCTTCCCCTTCCTTCCCTTTAGGTTACTAACCATCTCCAACACATCGGACGCATCTCCATAACCTCACCGAATAACCGCGACTTCAATTCGTGCGCTCCCCTCAGGAGCACCCAAACTGTCCGCCGTATCCTGTACGGCCTCAACCCCTATACAACACGTACACAAACCACAAGTACCCTTCCAATCACACAATACACAGCGTACTCACACACCTCTTACACACATCCAAGGACATGCACCTAATTTAAGCACTTCTAACTCTATTCCAGCGCAATGCCAATACACAAGCTTTGCCCAGATACGTAAGTGCCCCTTTTCTCATCTCTTCAAGAGCGAGTCGGCCTCCAAAACTCTCCGTTATTTTCCTTTTCTCTCTCCTCTTATGCCCTTTTATCTTCTAGGGGAGTGGTCCTCATAGACCTGTCCCATACGGGGAGGTTAGTTTTTAGTCGGTAGGCACACCGGGTGAATCCGACACTACCGCTGGAATAGCCGGGGTGTCTATGAATATTTTCTCCTCCCCGCTCCTTCAAACATAAAAAACAATAAACGCTATTCTTTGTCACCCGTAATAATTTGTTAAATAATGGAATTGAGTAAATCTTCGTATTTAATACTTAATAAGAGTAATTACTGCTTTACTTTTTAATACACACATACAATCTGCAATATACACAGTTATACAGCTGTCCCCAAATATATATATTGTATTTATTGTATATGAATTTTAGGGGTTATATATACATAGGTCATTTAAATTAAATTAAAGATTTTTGTTCATAAAGGACCCTTCACATTAATAATATCAGACTCATCGCACAAGTCACCTTAAATCTACTCAGCCGATAGAAAATCTGTACTATGAGCGCGCGACTGCAATTTTTAGCTTTTGGAACACTCCAAAAGCATCGATCCAGGCGCACGTGCACCCAGCCTTTTGGAATACTCTTAATAGTATTCCATTTTGGTTAAGAGTTTTGTAAGTATTTAAGAAGTGCCATATAATCTATCTTATAAGCCAACCACAACCTAAATTAATAGATAGAAAATAAAAAGTTGCAACGTAAAAGTGCCATTTGCGGCAAGATTAGAAAGCATCTTGTATCCAAAAATTGACCTTATAAAAATTAAATAGATATTGTAATCATATCCAAAATCGTGTCTACAATTCGGATTCCAAAAGGTCACGTGACTCTCACGACATATATAGTCACTTGGGGGAAAAATAACACAGGCCTTGTAGGTGCAATTACATTTTTATTTTTCTTACACCTTCAACGATTGTAATCTGATAAAAGCCTTCCAATAACATATTTTTAAGGAGATATGACAATACCTTAACTGTTTTTTTCCAACTCAATTAGTCTTTTGCAGCTTACAACTTTCCTTGAAAAGTGCGAAAACGCATTTTTAACCTTACCAAAATCTCGCTTGTTGTCCTATACATAGTCGGGAATGGGAGATTTTTGTACAGGTTAAATGTGCGTTTTTGCACTTTCAAAGGAAAGTTTTAAGCTTCAAAAGACTAATTGAGTTGGGAAAAAATAGCTAAGGTATTGCCATCTCCTCAAAAATATGTTATTGATAGGCTTTTATCGTATTACAATCGTTGAACGTGTAAAAAAATAAAAATAGAATTGCACCTATAAGGCCTGTGTTATTTTTCCCCAAAGTGACTATATACACTGCGAGAGTCACGTGACCTTTTGGAATCCCAACACCTTATCTATTATGTTAGATGAGTATTATAGATAAAATCAGCGTTAGATGAGCGTTAGATGATCAGTACGGGGAGGTCATTTTCACACCTTTATTGAATCGTAAAATTTATATAAGTTTATTTCGTTGATCATCTTCTGGGGCAAATGAAAACACTTAGTTTAAGCGACGTTTCGTCGACTGGTGTGTCGACCTCTTTAGGCTTAATTTAAACCGTGAAAGACAAATTATTTAACGTATCGAGCAAATGGCTCACACGCAAGTCAAACTGGCAAAGGCTTGCTCGATACGTTAAATAAATTGTCTTTCACGGTTTAAATTAAGCCTGAAGAGGTCGACACACAAGTTGACGAAGCGTCGCTTGAACTAAATGTTTTTATTTGCCCCAGAAGATCAACGAAATAAACTTATGTATATAATATGGAGGGCGAGAAAGACTCAACTATTAGAATCGTAAAATTGCCGAAACTTTCATTTGGGGAATAAATTATATTGTAAAAAAAAATTAACTGGTAAAGTTGTGGCTTGGTTTTGTTTTTTGTAGGAGGTATATTTTGTTGACGCTCGATTTTCGGGTACAAAATGCATTCTAATCTTGCCGCAAATGGCACTTTAACATGACAATTTTGGTAAAAATGTAGTTTTCTACTTCTTACGAAAAGTTAGCTTCAGAACTTGCTGTGCTACCAATCTAATACAGCGCAGGAAATTCAAAATCACTAATGTGTTAGCTATGTTAAACTAGCTGTGTTAAAAATAAAAAAATCCTATTAAGTACTGACAGAAGAAGTACCGACCGCATATTTGCATTCAAATTTACTGCCTTAATAATTTAGAATTTCCTGCGTTGTCATGTTGGCAGCATTGCGAGTTCTGCAGTAAACTTTTCGTAAGGAGTCGTAAAGTACACATCTGCCACAACTTTTTATTTTTCATTTATTGGTTTAATTTGCGGTTGGTTTATAAAACAGACCATAAGCACTCCTTTAACACCAGTAAAACTCTTTACTAGAATAAAACATGACTAAAATTTTTAGGATCTCAACGGATTATACGGTTTCTGAATTCTGGTGCGAGTGGCGGCTGGTTTAAATTTTGACCACCATGGGGCCGCAGCTCTTGGTCCATCATAACTTATAACTTGCTGTTTTCCAGTTTTCCTCCTTGACTTGTCCCCGTCCCCGCCACGCCCGCCAGTATGAAATAGCAGTGGAAATAAATTCAATAACGCGTTTCTAACCATAGAGATATAAGGATAGAGTGCGCTAATAATACTAATGTACGTAAGGGGGTGCGATACGATTAAAGAAAGAGATGGTCACCGAATGTCCCCTCCATCGCTTTCTAGCTGAGCGCTGTGATTGGCTACTGTTAGCCTACATCTCACATCGGTATTTACTACATCAGCCAATCACAGCGCTCGGGTAGACAGAGACAGAGAGGATACTTGGCAAGCATCTCTTTCTTTTACCGTATCGCTGTATTCAGCCTCTAGCGCACTCTAGCCTTGTATCTCTATGTTCCTAACCACGTACGTAATGAGTAATTCTTTTAACTTTATTTAAATTTTGTTACATATAGCATGATTTTTTGCTCACCCGTAGTTATTACAAGTGTTGGCTGCATTAAAAAAATCAAAATTTTATGTATACTAAATTCAAGTTTCAAACAAAAACCAATATTAGAATCCGTTTGAAACTAAGATTGTGAATTCATGAAGTAGTGACTTTTAACTCCTACACCCAACTTAATTTAATGGAGAACAGTGGAGAAAGTGGAGAAGATAGTGGATCATTAAGTACTTCTGCATTTCTTGATGGAAGTAGTATTACTACTTCATACATGAATATTCATTCTGATGAGATGGAAGGTTATCATTTTTTTTTTATGAGTATCCACACTAATACACTGTGGAATAAGTGATTTAAACATATACACATAACCTTTAGGCTAAACTAAATCAACTTTTGCGATAAGGCAATGCATCAAAAGTTTTTCAAATTTCATTTACTCAAATAATGAGTGGTATGACAATAATAAAAATTTTCATAATCTGAGAATGTAGTCATAAAGCTATATTTTTCATAAAGTAATGAGGTATTTTAACAATGCAGTGTATGATTAAATATCATTTATTACATATTAAAGTAGACAAGCAAATTTATCTACAGAAAGCCGAACTGATAAATTAAGTTACATTATCTTAGCTCGTTTGAGTACAGCTGTAAGGATGTGTTTAAGTCATATTAAGATTTCTCTCAGTGTTGACTTCAACTCATATTTTACAAAAAGAAGATTCCAAAATTGACAGTTAAGTTGTCTGACAATGTTTATTGGAATATTGATGAGTAAAACTGTACATAAAATCAGTAGACAGTGGGTGCTTGGGTACCCAACGTTCAAATGTACCCCTTTTTATGAGTTTAATTTTGAAAAATCGCAATGTAACATATACTCTTACAAAAAAATCACGTATAATTGCATTTATATAATCTGTAGAAATCTCCCAAATTTTTTAGTACGAAAGATTACTTTTAGATACACATCAAATTTTCAAACAGATCCATAAGTTGGTTTTTAATTAAATTAAGAAAGAGGGGATAAAGTATGCGTAAAATCATGTATACAAGAGAAAAACAATCGTCAGCGTCGCTGTAAGTATATATTTATGCTCCTCTCACGTCTCTGAACTTTTCCCCTCAGTAACTATGTGAAAAATGTCGTTAAGTAAATCACCTCAATCACGAAAAGAAGAATTGTGGAAAAATAAAATACAATAATAATTAATTATTGTATTCATACAGTACAGGAAAATTGGCGGATGTGTACTTAACGACTCCGAATGACCTATACACAGAGATAGAATAGAGCACGCCAGGGGCCAAATTTTTTGATTCGCCGAGTGAGAGAAGGCTCTGCCAGTGAGTCCCATGAAACTTGGTCTAGTAGCCATAAACACAGATAAAGAGCTGTTGCGCATGCTTTGGTTAGACACAGATACAAGTCTCGATCAGGAATCTAAGGTGGCTACTGAACGAGTTCGGGAGGCCCTCTGTAGGAAACTGAAGGTGGGCCACCAGTGTCAGCGTGAGGGGGCAAACGGTAGGTCCGAGGTAGGCTGCCGAATTAACCGAAGTAACCTAGCCTTATCCTGTACAAAAGTATATGAATTTTCAATGTATATCCATACGTACTTATATACATAATGTGCGGTTATGTATAGACACTTCTAGCATTTGCATACAAAATTAAAGTGAAATATAAGCCAACATTCCATGTATACTATTTGAAAATGAGTGAAAAAGTTTAAAGATATCGTTTATTGAAACAACAAAGCAGCAAAAAGTATAGGGTTTGAAAACAGCTAAACTTGAGTACCTATAAAATGATGAGTTCGGACTTTTTTTAGATTTTTTTGTTCACTCATATGGTACATACATCCTCTGGCTCGAAGTATGATGGAACATTATTTTTGACTGCTATTAGAATAGTTTTTAAAAGTTTTAAGGAGTGAGGAAAGAGGGTAGATGATTAATATAAAAAGAACGTATGAGAAAGATGCTTTCATTAAAAATAAAATATTCACAATCAGAATATTTACAGCTATGTCAATATATGTAATTTTTTTTATCACCTCAAAGTACAAACAGTTATTTCTTGTATTTAATAAAAAAAATTGTATGTATTTGGCATTTAAAATTTTGTTTCGTTATTGACTCAAATTACATCCTATTTGCAATATCTATATGCTCTTTTACTCAAAAGAAGCTTCGTGTTTGGTTAGGTCTTTACTATTTCGGTAGCCAACCTCGGACCTACCGTTTGCCCCCTCACGTTGCCACCGTCGGCCCACCTTCGGTACTTCAGCAACCGAATTCAGACCTCCATTCCGCCGAAGTAGAATTTCTGATCGGGTAACTATATATATATATGTAAAGTGGCAGTTAGTATATGTCCTGTATTTATGCAGCTAGAACAAAGTCGCTACGTGGCACAGAGGACTAGGCATCTAATTACTACATGGAGAGGGAATTCAGACGTTGAACGCATGGAGGTTAGCTGGCTTTCAGCGCGTGCGGCTTTCCTTGCGTTGAAAGCACAAAGTTGTAGCACTGAAAGCCTCGAGTATACCTGAGCGGTAAACGCAAGGAGCGTGACGGGTTTGACGCTTGGAATCTGTTACGTTTGATTAGTGCTCAGCTAGTATAAATATACATAACCGTCAGCTGAGCACCAATCAAACGCAACAGATTCCGAGCGTCAAACCCGTCACGCTCCTTGCGTTTACCGCTCAGGTATACTCGAGGCTTTCAGTGCTACAACTTCGTGCTTTCAACGCAAGGAAAGCCGCATGCGCTGAAAGCCAGCTAACCTCCATGCGTTCAACGTGTGAATTCTCTCTCCGTGTACGGGGAAGTCCCAGGATCTGTAATCTCGGACGATATTCCTAAATTTTTTTCTTAAGATAACCAATATAATCGTTTCTTAATCATTAGAAGATGATAATACGTAATGCATATAAGATATGAAAAAATTATCATAAGTTTAGTGACGTCACTGAATAGGCTCGAAAATTTGAAAATGAAATTAGACACAAGAAACATTAAAATCAAACGGGTCAAGTAGATATTTTCAAGATAAAATACTGAAAAAATTGTAACCGCGTGACGCATTATACCCAATGGCGAGAAAATTTAAAAGTGAAATTGAAAGAGAAATACTCCCAGTTAAGTATAATGTTTGAAAAATCTTTAAGGTGGGCTTAGATGGAGTCTAGGAATCTGCCAGACTGGCATTGAGTCTCATAACAGTGAGATAGAGGTTCATCATGTGACTAAATCTAACCTCTTTTTTAAATTTTTTTAGAAATAAGATCTATTTGCATTAATAACTGTCAGAGTGTTCAAGCTCATGCAGCAGATCTAATTAATTGTGTTACTGAACAATGTAATTTATTATTCTGGACAGAAACTTGGCTAGACAATGGCAACCACATTGAAGTGCCTACTTTTCGTTGCATAGCTCAATTTATAGGCGTACAAAAATAAGAGTAGGTAAAGTTGCAATCTATCATAATAATGATACTTTAAACATTTTCAGTGATCATATGAATTTACTCATTCCAAATATAACAAGTGCCAATGTTGGTAAGAGTTCAATAGGAGAAATTTGTCAATGTAAATGCTTTGTGCTAAGAGATAAAGCGATCATTACTGTAGCTATTTATATATCACCTAATGTTTTTGTTAATGAAATAATTGAATTCAGTCACAAACAACTATTAATGTATACAGACGAGGGTTCTGCAATACTAACCAAAAATTATAATATAATATGAAATAATGTAAGATTTCTATAGTGGTAAGCAGAGATTTTGATGTTAACTTTTCTTTCCAAGCTGCTGTACTATTAATTTAATTTTTAGAAGAAAAATTTAATTTAAATATAATTAATAGCCTATTGCAATCGACCGCTAAATATGAAACAATCATTGATGCCATCTTAACTCGTTATTCAGATGAAGTTGGATTATTGATTAATATTTCATATTTTTCGTACCACAATGAGTTACTACTGTTAAAAGCCGAAATGAGTCTTAAGTATTAATAACAATATGTGATGATAAATGAGCGTTAATAAATTTTGTATTTTTAGGTAAAATGAAGTGATTTAACAACTACCTAAGTTATGTAATTTAGAAAACGAGATTATTTATAAAAAGTCTCATTGAAGCTTCGTTTTTTTCGTGGGTCCTGTGACCCAGTTTTTTTTTAGTTTGAGTTTATTAATAATAAAACGATAGACAAGCTCTATTTATTTCAACGGAACCTTCGTTCTAAATTTTAAATTATAAGCGCTAGAAGTTGGTACTTGGGTGATTAAGAGCTGCGCGAACAATGGAAAATCGGGAGAAGAACACTCGTCCTCTGTATTTTCTCTTAATTTTATAGTTTTAACTTATCTTACTAATATATAAAGCAAGAACGCTAAAACTGTTGTAATCGCTAACCGCGAAAACTACTGAACCGATTTTGTTGAAATTTTGCACACTGATTCATGATACTTCCTAGATGGTTTCAGTATAGTTTTTATCGTAAAAAATTTAATAACAATAGCAATAAATGAGCTCAAAGTTTTGCAAAAATACGCCAGCTTTTCACTTTAGTTCAGTAAAATCCGCTAGGTGGCGTCGACATAAAATCAACGCTACCTGCAACAGAATTAAATAAGTGTGATTATAATCGGCCGGAGCGTCTCGATAGAGATGTAGTTGAGCTTCGGAAGTTCAACAAGCTGTGTAGAGAATGCTGATGACAGTCTTGCAGCTAGGTATCCCGGTTACGGACAACACTCTTATCCAAGGGGGAAGGGACCTAGGTGTCTATTCACCCTGAATCTCGACGAGTGCGATCAAAAAAAAAAATTACTCCAACCGATGCCGTCTCTGCCACAATACCAGGAGACATATATAGCCAGAGCACAATCTGCATCAACTCTTCAGAGTTGTGTGGCAGTCCCACTATCCCGCCTGGTACAGTCAGAGAATTTTTGGCTACAAATGTAAGCCAGGGAAAACAGCTCTGAGGAGCACGGGCAGCCACAACTGCTACCTTCTTAGTCGTCGCGTCCCCAACGCGCTTACCCACATGTTCCTGTCTAACGATGAGCGGTTGGTTATCCGGGGAACGACCCGAGACGAGATATTATTTGGTCAGTGGCGTGCCTCCTTCCATCACAGTATCCGTAAATCGAGACTCCCAGGGTAAGAATCAAGCAACCCGTAGCCAGCTCTTCATCATCAGGAATAATAATAAAGAATAGCCTGGAAGTTTCACCACTGGCGCTTTTTAGGGCAATTATAAGTATTGG